GAATGAATTTTATTATTTCTTCAAGGTTCTTCACATACGTACACCTTAAGAGATATCAAGTAGGCATAACATGTTCTCAAAAAATTAGGGTTGGCACGCAGAAGAATTTTGAGTCAGAGATTTTGCTGGTTTTGGCACGCACTCACAAAAAGATTGCCCACCCCTGGTCTAGGCCAAGGGACTTGGGCTAGGTCCCACATTCTGGGTTTGTTTGATTGTGTCCTCAAACGCTCCTGGCAAAATTACATCAGACATGATGTTGTGTACATCCTATAGAGTTAGGATGCAACTGTGTCTGATTGTCCCAGTATCACTGGGGGAAGTTTGGTCACTTGGTTAACGTGGGAGACCGCTATACTTCTTCATCTTCAAGGTCCATTTTCCCCTTCACAATCCGTGGGTCGTGAGGGGGGTGATTTGGGGACCATAGGAGTATCCTGTTCACATCAACCTTTGGCCCAGGGACTTGGGCATCTATTGATGTCTTCGGTTAAATAAAAATTATTACACTGGGAGCTGCAAAATGGTGATGCTTCTAATTTTATTATTCTTTCCACATGTGTTAGCCGAATTCTTCTGTGAAGAAGAGCTTTCTGTTTTTCTTCTGACAAACAGATTTCCTTTCATTTCAAACACTAGGATAAGATACGAAGGCCATGCCCAAGGTTTCCTCAAGTGCCCAGCTCTCACTCCGCTGCAAAGCAATTTCCGATGGGAGTCTCCCAGATGTGAGGCAGGCGATGGGGGGAGGGGGTGTATAATGTCTGAGTTGATAACAAACCCCTAACCCTAACCCTAACCCTAACCCTAACCCTAACCCTAGTTAGTATAAGGAACTCCATGAACTGGTGCTAACATTTGCAGTATCTGTGCTGTACTGTGGTTGATGTCCTTGGGTTTGATATGATCCTCAAAAGGGGCTGTGGCTCCGTCCCTCCACCGCTACATGCTAATGACCAAGAGGGAAGAGTTGGGGACTGACTCTGCTTAGCATATCCAAAGCAGCATCATTGCAACATGTGATCGATATAAAAACTGCTAATGAGACCGTTTGCTTTTACTGTCTTGGAAATGCAACATGCATTTTACACCTGTTTCCTGTCTCAGAACTAGCTATGTCGTCAGTGCCTAAGTGGCTAGTGTATTGGAGAGCACAGGTCTAGAAAATTTTTCCAGGGGAAAAAAAATATAGAGTGAAGGAGAAGAAACCCACCTTCCTGAACTGGGAATGGGGAGTGAGTTGGGCAGTGGCCCTTCTTTACGACACACTTCATCACCAATCACAGGTCATCACAGAGAGGCCCTCGTCTTCACAGAGAAATGAGCAAACCTTCTTTCCAGCGGCCTCATAGCTGCTTGGGCCTGAGACGGGCTGCAAACGTTGAAGAGAACCATTCACACACTCGGGTGGAGGAAACGGCCTGAGGTGAGTGGCCTAGACTTGTGTGCTCAAACATACGTTCATCTCACCTGCCATGTGTGTGACCCACCTACTAAAACACTTTAAAAATGTTTTTATTGATTTTAGAGAGGAAGGGAGGAGGGAGAGAGAGAAACATTGATATAAGAGAGAAAATCAATCAATATGCCCTGATTGGGAATAGAACTGGCAACCTTTTGGTGCATGGGATGACGCTCGACCAACTGAGCCACACCGGCCAGAGCTTACTTAGCTCACGTTTTTGAACAAACACTTTCCCCATGAATCTAGTAAAATGTGCAGGCAGAGGCCGGGGGCTGTGGGGTGGGGGAGGTAGGGTATCTACTACCGAATCAAGCACGGTTGCTGCCTGTGGTTGGGGAGGTGGGGGCAGGGGGAGATGGGGGCAGGCAGTGGCTAAAGCAGTGAAGGGTCCAGCATCCGCTGCACATTGAGGAGGAAAATCACCCCACCCACCTCTCCAACAAGACCAAGCTTCCTTTGGAAAACCCACGTTAAAATTCCATCGTGTTTCTGAGTTAGAAACACATGAAATAATTACCCTTAAGTCTTCACCAGTTATGTTAGCATAGACTGACTTGTTGAATTTGAAAAGTAGAGCCAACAACCCTTTAGAAATGTTTTGTTTTCCTTGGGGGTGGGGGGGATGGAAGTGTGGACCCCTTTGTTGTCTCACACTGGGGGAATTTCTTTATTTTTAACATAATTTATTGATTTCAGAGATGAAGGGAGAGAGAGAGAAACATCAATGATGAGAATCATTGACAGGCTGCCTCCTGCACACCCCACACTGGGGATTGAGCCTACAACCTGGGCATGTGCCCTGACCGTGGAACTGTGACCACCTGGTGTATAGTTTGACGCTCAACTACTGGGCCACACTGGCCGGCCACAATGGGGGAGTTTCTTGATGATGGGGAGAGGCATCGGGCAGAGGCCGGAGAGCCCAGTGACCAGAGACGGTGCAGAAGAGCGGAGGGGCAAAGTGCAGGCTATAGACACAAACTTCATCCGCTTCAGAACTGTGCCCATTCCTGGACTGGTATTCAACACCTGTCTGAGCAGATACAGAGCAGATCCATCCCATGCAAATGCTTACATCGGGAAGGCTGTGGGGTGGGGGGTGGGGGGTGGTGAAGGTCCAGGGTTCCGGAGTCAGAGAGCCCAGCCCCTGTATGACTTGGGGGGAAGTTGCGTAACCTCTCTGTGCCTCAGTTTCCCATAAGCAAAAAATGATTCCTTCATAGGATTTGATGAGATAATGTAGCCGATACAGGCAGCTGTTAGGATTAACCTTGGCATCTGTCGGGAATAGTGTCTCCCTAATTTATCCCTGAAGTTTACAAGACTGCGGACAGTACACCCAGCAATGCTGGTGGGAAGCAGGCTCGTTCACACGGTTTTCTCCTCCGATGGCAAAACTGGGGCAAGGAGATGAGAATGAGTCGCCCCAGGGCTCCGAGGCGGCTCCTAAATGCGCCCGGGATTTCCCCCAAGACCAGGACTTCGTGTGCTCAGAGGCGGGCGCGGAATCCAGGCTGCGCCACTTAGCGCCGTCACCCTGGGAAGTCACCTGGTTTCCCTGAGCCCGCGGCTGTGCGGCATCCAACAGGGACGAAGACTGTGCCTAAAGGTTGCAAAAACCCAGTGACACTGACCGCACGAACGTGCATAAGGTGTGGGCTCAGGGACATCAGTCTCCCCGACTATGGCGACGACTGTGGTTGTCAGGGCAGATACTCGTGGCGCAGGCAGGGCCGGCCGGCGACGCTGGGATGGGTCTGGGCTCACCATCACGCCCCAGCGCCTGGCACGGCGCCTGGCACCCAGCAGACGGTCAGGAAACGTTTGTGGAATGAATGCACGCCGTCTGAGGAAGGGGGTGGGGCAGCCGGCTGACTCCTCGGAGCGAAGCCCTCGCCCTCCTTCCCGAAGCCCGAGCCCAGGCCCGTCTTGGCAAAGGGCTGAAACCCCCGGGTCCCGGGCGCCCGACGGAGCCGCGCGAGGGCGCCCCGCCTGGCCGCGCCCCGCTGTGGCCGCGCTCCCTCCAAAGCCCTGTTTTTTTTTCTTTTCTTTTTTTCTGGTTTGCGGTTTACTTATTTAAGCATTTACAGCTCCCGGGGGCACAGGGGCTGCTGGAAGCAGGGTCAGGCCGAGGTCGCGGTCTGCATTTGTTTTGTGCACCCCAATCTCCCCCTCACCCCCACCGACCTCAGCGCTGGCAAATGACAACACAGCTCCCCTATGTGTGCCCGGGAGGGAGGGTCCCACTCCGCGGGGCGAGAAGGCGCCCGCAGTTCGGTTCACGGAAGTGCCCTCGAGCCTCTAGCCCGTGCCCTTCCCCCCTCCCCACCCCCCACCCCTTTTTGCGGGTACCGTCGCTCTCAGACTTCGTTTTCTGTGCAAACCCGAGCTGATTAAATAAAGACAACCTCGCGCCGTTAATCCCTGACCGCAAACACTGGCGTTTCTATGCCCTGGATTTCTGACATTCTTGGCTCGCACGCCCGGCGCGGGGAGGGAGGGTTCCAGGCGGCAAAAACTTCCCAAAGCAGAAACCCGAGCTGCTCCCGTCCCCCGCTCCCAGCGGTACCTGGAAGCACGGGTCGGAGGCCAGCCGGAGGAGGGTCCCCAAAGGGTGGGGGCGCCCTCCAGGGGCGGCTTTGGGTGGCGGGCTCCACACCCGGCCAGCTCCGGGCGAGGACCCAAGTGCGGACCCTGGACGCCCCGCAGGACGCCCCGCCCGCGCATCTATTTAGAGCTCCTCCCGCGGCGCCGGGGATTCTGGGACTTGTAGTCCGTCCCGTCGCCCCAGGGCCTCCTCGACCCCGGCCTCGGACTACATTGCCCAGGGAGCCTCCCGATCTATATAAGGCTCTGGGGAGCCGCTTCAAAGTGCAGTAACCATGTGGCTGTGCTGCTGAGGCGCTTCCTCGGGCTCGCCGGGTGGGAGGAGAGGAGGAGGAGGAGGTGGAGGAGGAGGAGGCAGAGAGGGTGGAGAGAGAAAGCCACGCCGAGAGGAGGTGTGGGTGTTCCGCTTCCATCCTAAAGGAACGAGCTCCCGCTTCGCAGCATGGGATTACCCGGCAGCTGCTGACCCCGCTCCTCGCCCTGCGCCCCCAAACCGGCGTGGCTCCCCGGGCAGCAAGGTAGCGGCTGGGGCCGGGCCGAGGGCGCGGGGAGTTGGACTGTCCCCAGGACAGCACAAGTTTTTGCGCCGCTCTCTGGGAGTTCTTGGTGGATTTGCAAGCACTTGCAGGCATTTGTGGGTTCTTTTTACTGCGGGCCTTTTTTTCGGGGGCGGGGGGGAGTGGGTTCATTTGCGGTTAAAGACATTTTGACGCCAGTGACTCGCTTTGAGGGCGACCCGGTCTGGGCTGGAATGGCATTCCCCTGAGTTGGAAACTGTTGCAGCAGCTGCAGGAAATAGGTTGTTTTTCTGGGGGGGCGGGTGGTGGTTGTGGGGGTGTCATATGTGAGTCCGCTCAAGGAAACCATCTTTCTCAAAACGTAACCCTCGCTCGAGCCGCACAGTCGGGAGAGTCGTGCTTGTGTGTGTGTGTGTTGGGGGGCGAGGGGGTATGAAACGGGGAGCCAGGAGGGATGAAGTGTGGACGGAGCCGGCGGGGACGCGGGTTTCTGACCCTCGGCCTCCCCACGGGAAACGAGAGCCGCCAAACACTTCCCTGAGTCCCAGCCCGTGGGCCAACTTGGTGATGCCCAGCCTCGCTGTTGGGTCGCACACGGAGTACCCAGGTTCCCCGGACGCTTCGCCCACGTGATCCCACACACCTGCCTGTCAACTGGGGGGCAGGGGGTGTCTCTCCAGGAAGGAGGTTAAAGAAGGCGGAAGGTGGGGATTTGGAGCGTTTCCCTTAGGGACCCAGCGTTGTGGTCTCAAGCCGTCTTCCTTCTCAATCCCCAGGAGCTGACGGCTGCCCGCAGGACTCGCACCCCTGGCGGGACACGCTCTGGCAGCGGAGTGCCTGACCGGGGTCAGGTGAGTGTGGAAGCCTGCGAAAGCTGCGGGCAATAATGAGTTCTCGGCCGCAGCTGCAGCCTGTTCTACATCCTCTCTAAGGGGCCATGGAGATGGGGAGGGGAGGAAAAGCCAACTCCATGGTGGCTCAATCTCTGAAAGGTGACCTGGCCGCTGGGGAGGGCGCCCGGGAGCAGGTGAGATGCAGGGGCCGGTCGGCCCGAGCTGTTGGAGGGGCTCGGAATGGAAGCAGCCTGCAGGCTCAGGAGAGGAGGGCAAAGGCCATCGGGGAGGGGCCACAGAGGGGGCGCCCGTCAGTCCGTCAGTCCGTCCGTTGGGGGACTAGGAATGGAACTCGCCAGGCAGCGTGCTGATGACTTAAATCCTGAGGGATGCAGTGCCCTTCGGCTGCCAAGACGTGGAAGCAAAAATGAACGGCTTCTCTCGTTCAAAAATAGTCACTTTCTTTTTTTCTTACCGTGAACGTGGGTTTCCTCAGGGTAGGTTGGACTGCAAGAAATGAAAGTGGCGGCCGCCAAATGGAAAGAGGTAGAACTTTAAAAAGGGAAGTTAGTTCTTGAAGCAGAAGGTGGTGGCATCCAGCCCTGGACGCGAACCCCCTCTCTGCATGTCAGGGATCTGAGGGTCCCCGCTGTGAGGTGCCTTGTGGGATAGGAGCTGGGGGCCGCATTTATCTGTGAACAAGCAGCTCCTCTATCCCGCCTCCCTCCCCCAGCCCTGAAATGGCCAGGCTGCACTTTAAGAAAGAGGTTTTCACGGGTCCCCATTGCTGCAGATCCAGCCATCACAAGTTTTTCCTTCTGAAATGGTCAGGAGCGGGGTGACCAACAGGGTAAGGGGCGGGGGTGCTGGGACTTAGTAACTTCTTGAACATTCTAAATATTTAGCTGTTCCCTGGGCTACAATCTTGGGGCTTTTCTAATTAGAAAAGAAAAGCCAGACACTTCATTATTGTCTTCCAGGTCTCTTGTTTCTTGCTGATAAGATCCTCGGGGCGCGGGTGGCTTGGAGCGTTCGGATGTGTGAGGGCCAGTTCCTTCGGGGAGCTCCAGGGACTGGCGGCTGTGTGGGCACGCCAGCGGCCCGGCCTGGTCCAACGCGCCTCCGCCGAGTGAGCTGCAGACCCCGCGAAACCGGCCCAGGTCTTCTCCAGCTGGCTGCTACCTGAATGCCGACACATGAAGTACATGTAGGCCAGGTCCAGGACCGGCTGGCCCAGAAACCTGGGGGGTCAGGTACCGGTGAAGAAACGGAGGTGCAGAGAGTGGAGTCACGTGCTCACACAGGTGGGAGCCAGTGTAACCATAACCTGCAGGCTGGGCTGTCCTGTGCCCACACGTGCACCTCAGTCGGGGGCGGGGAGGGAGAAACTCGGAAACTTGATAAACGTATTGCTGTTGCTGAAATAAGTCTGGCTTATGTCCCACCCCGGGGGAGTGAGCCTGTGTCCCCTGATGTAGGAAGGAGATGGCGTGGCCCCAGGTGTGGGGAGGGCTGAGGGTGGGTATTGGAGGAGGGTGTGTTTGGAAAGCTGAGCGCCGAAAGCATGGATGAGAGGAAAACAACCAGACCATGAGGAACGTTGTCTGAGTCCAGCCTCAAGGTCATCTCCTGCCTGAGCTCCACCTTGATCGTCTCCGTCCAGGCCTCTGAGCTGGTGAAAGGAGTCGGGCATGTCCCCATCTGAATAGGAAACCTTTTTTGTTTAAATATATATTTTTTTATTGATTTCAGACGGGAGGTAGAGAGACAGATAGAAACATCAATGATGAGAGAGATGTGCATGCCCCACTCTGGGGATCGAGCCCGCAACCCGGGCATGTGCCCTGACCGGGAATCGAACCGTGACCTCCTGGCTCATAGGTTGATGCTCAGCCACGGAGCCACGTCGGCCGGGACAAAACCTTTTCATATTCCTTGCAGTCCGCTTTGTGGCCGGTTGGGCAGAACCCTTTTTTCTCCCTTTCTTCTGTGCGTGTGTGGAAAGCACAGCCTGCTCGGTGAATAATTCACATCAGAGCAGAATCCCCGATCGGGGCTGGCTGTTGGGCAGGGAGAGTGCGTCACGCTCTGAGTGAACTGCTCCTGGCCTCGCTTGGAGCCCCGGGGACGTTGCTGGAGCCGACAGTTTGCTCCCCGGGTCAGCAAAGTGGTCCCTCTGCAGGGACCTGGCGTCGCCTCTGTTGGGACCGGAGCTGGGTTTGGCTGCTGAGAGAAGTAGGTGAACTTGAGGCACATCTGTTGCCTTTTCCTCAAAATATTCTCAATGGAGGGAGACCAGGGAATGAAAGCGAGACAGAGAGGAAAGAAACTTCTAATCCAGTGACTTAACACAGTACATAACCAGCCGACTTCCAGAGAAAAAAGTGAAATGGCTTTTTTTGATAATTTATAATGATCTCATAGAAGCGGTCTGGTTTCTTTACGAGCAGTTCTTAAAAAGCAAACCAATGTGGCGCTGGCTGGTTTGGCTCAGTAGTTAGAGTGTCAGCCCTCTGACTGAAGGGTCTTAGGTTCGATACCAGTCTAGGGCACGTGCCTCAGTTGCAGGCTCGATCCCCAGCCCTAGTCGGCCGAGGGTGCATGCAGGAGGCAACCAATCAATGTGTCTCTCTCACATCAATGTTTCTCTCTCTCTGTCTCTCCCCCTCCCTCCCTTCCACTCTCAAAAAAAAAAAAATCCATTTGAAAAACATCCTCGGGTGAGGATTAACAACAACAAAAAAGCAAACCAATGTGAAACAACAAACACCTAATAGGAACAACAGGAAAGCAAACCGCACACAGAGAATAAAAGTCGGCCTGGAGTTTGGTTTCTAGGTCAGGCTGCCCCGGGCCCCTCTCATTAGGAGTCTGCACAAAGCCAGTGTCCCATCTTGTTTGCTGTTGGTTTGATCTTTTAACATAAAACACATGCGACGCAGGCTCTTCGGTCCCTGGAAGTGCCTGCGACACGTTCGTTCACTTCTGCTCTGTTCAGTTGGCTCTTTCGGCGAAGTCAAGGAAGGCTTGAAGTCAGAGACGGGACAGAGGCGATTTCGCTTCTTCCTGCCAATTGTCAGAGCGTCTGTGGTTCCGAGGTTAACGCGGATGAGCTGGAAAAAACACGGAGCGCGTGACCTACTGAGCTGCATCGCAGCGGCAGCCAGGGAGTCCGGGTTCTTGCCCGAGCTGGACAGAGTTGAGGCACTTGGTGTGACAAATCTATTCAAGAAAGTCTACTGCCTGTTAAAGTGGGTACAGTCCAGGTGTTTATTCCATTGAGCGTTTTCTCTGCGCCAGGGTGTGTCCTAAGTGCTGGGGACCCAGCCATGCGAGGCCCGCTCCCTGAACACCTGGGTGGGGGGAGGCGTCCAGCACAGACGAGCAAGCGCTATAGTGCAGCAGGTGTAAGTGCTGTGGAGAAGAGAGGCAGAGCAGGGGGAAGGGAAGGCACGTGCCGGCGAGGATGTGGAGCAGTCGGAACCCGTGCACTGTTGGTGGCACGGAGAACGATGCGGCCGCTGTGGGAAACAATGTGGGGGCCCCTCAAAACATTAAACAGAGAGAGACCAGAGGGTCCAGCAATTCCACTCGCGGGGACTTGAGTGGATACTTGTGTACTCATTGTCAGAGCAGCGGTCATGATTCACAATAGCCAAGATGCGGGAGCAGCCCAAGTGCTCACTGGCAGGTGAAGGGATAAGCAAAATGTGGCCTGTAGGTACCGCGGACCATCGGCCTGTAGGTACTGTGGAATACTATTCAGCCTTAACGAGGAAGGACATTCCCACACATGCTACAATGTGGGTGAATCGTGAGGACATTGTGCTAAGTGAATGCAGCCAGTTACAAAAGGACAAGTATTGTCTAATTTCAGTGGGGTCCCTAGAGCAGTGGAATCCACAGAAACAAAGTAAAGTAGTGGGTGCTGACGGGCGGGGAGGTGCTCAGTGGGTAGAGAGTTTCACTTTGGGAAGAGGGAGACATTCTGGAGATGGGTGGTGTGACGGATGGTTGTACAACAACACACGTGGACTCAATGCTGCTGAACTGCGTGCTTGGCAATGGGGACAAGGGTACATTTTATGTTGTGGGTGTGTGTGCTGCCACTGAAAACCCACCAACAGGTAATGCAACAACAGCAGCAAACACAGGGAAGGGGATAAGGGAGTCCTCAGGTGGGGATCAGGAACCAGGGAGGGGTTCTTTAAAAAAATGTATTTTAATGTTTTCATTGATTTCAGAGAGGAAGGGAGAGATAGAAACATCAATGATGAGAGAGAATCATTGATTGGCTGCCTCCTGCACGCCCCCTACTGTGATTGAGCCCAAAACCTGGGCATGTGCTCTGACTAGGAATCGAACTGTGACCTCCTGGTTCATGGGTCAATACTCAACCACTGAGCCACACCAGCCGGGCAGGGAAGGGCTCTAATGTGGTGCATTGGAGCAGAGAGCTGAAGGAGTGAGCGCTTAGCCACGTAGATATCTGGGCAAAAGGATGTTCCAAAGGGCTGGAGCCGCACGTGCAAAGGCCCTGGGGTGGAGCAGATATGACCCATTGGGGGAGGTCCACGAGGCCAGGGTGGCTGCAGCTGAGGGTGAGGGTGAGGCATGCAGACGGGAGAGTCAAGGTCAGAGCCTTCAGGGGTCTGCAGGTGAGCAGGGATTTATTTCCCCAGGATTTCTAAACACCCGCAGAGTTCTCAGTGTGGGCCCCAGCATCACCGCACCATGCCATCCTCTCTAAAGAGACTGGTGAGGGTGTCAAGGTCATGTGCCAGGCTGGAACCTGATTGAGGAGTGGGGGAGACCCAGATTTCTAGACCGTTGGCTCAAACGCCCAACCTGCCTGACACTGTCGTTCGCTGCAGTTGGGAAGGAGTCCTCTGTGATGAATAGGTGAACCTGCAGGGGTTTGGACAACATTCTAAGGACCGAGTGCTATTCCTGTGGGTTTATCTTCAGTGCAGCCTTCTGCGCCCTGCAGTCCGTCCAGTGTCTGTGTGTCTGTCTCT